CATATGGACCTGTAGTCAGACAGAACACTAAATAAATAATAATAATAATAATAGTCTGCTAGAAGATTGGTAGTGTTTCAGAGGTACTTGCAGCCCTAGAGATGGAGGCAACAAGCACCTCTGAAACGTCGGTAACCGTCCACTAGCAATATCTCAGAAATCTGTCGCCATGTTGTTTCCCTATTTAGTTCAATAAACTGAATAGAATGGCTACTCTGTTCCTCTGAGACCACGTTCATGAAGATTTTGAAGGAAACATTCGGAACCTACCCATGGCGGACAGACGAAGAACACGTGACTTAAACAGTGTGGTAGGTTTACTGACTCTGGCAAGTTGACGCTCGAAGACACCACACCTTTTCTGTCCTCACGTGACGTCACGCTGATACAAGGTAACCCAGTCGTGACGTCACGTCAAATACGTACGCAAGAGCGACCTAACTCTCTTTTATGTCGTATGAATTGTCAGGATTTTGGAATTGTCCTGTTATAATTTTTCTTCGTCGAATATTAATTTGTTGAATCTGTTTTATGCAGTTTAGCTACGATGTTTATTGCCGCGGTGTTAGGACGTTTATGGATCAGGAAAAACTAACCCAAATTTTATCGCTGTCTTATTTTAAGATTCTTTACCGGAAGTCTTGAGTGTAAAAAACTGACATCTCACGAGAACAAACATCGAGGGATTTTTTAAGACGAAGTTAGTTAATTAGTTAACAACTAGTTAGTTGATACGTCTTTTGAAAGTGTGGCAGAATTTAGAAATTTGAAAACGTCAACAAATCGAAATTCATTCGTAAGGAAATTAGGAACAGACTGAATTCGGAGAATCCTCGCTACGTTGCAACTCAGAACGTGAAGAGATGTTGAGGAAAATATTTGGACCTGAAGGGGATTCCAGGAGAATAAATTTGAACTCTGTATTTTATACTATTCAAACATTACCAAGTCAAGAAGGATGAGATGGGCAGAGCATTTAGCACGTATGAAATACGAAATTCATGTAAATTGTCAGTCGGAACCCCCCCCCAAAGGTAGAGATCGTGAAGAAAGTCTTGATTTATACGAGGGATAATGCTCTTGAAACTTTTTCAAACGCGTAAATGAATAATTTAGAAGTGATAGACGTGATATTAGGTTGAGCTTGGTATTTCATATTTTATATTTTGATATTCTAGAATAGCGTACAACATATATAGGACGAAACAGGAATTTCAACAGTTCGAGTGTGGGTGTTGATGGTTTCCCTGAAGTTGGTTTATAAATAACCTCTTCACTGGCTTCGAAGAAATAAGTTTAGAATTGGTTTGAATCAGTTTCTTGGCTATAGATAAAATTTTGATTTTAATTGTTTCATGTGTTTAGACATCCATGAATTTCCGAACGAGTGCAACGAAGGCGAATGAAACTCTGTTTCGATCAGTCGATCAAATTCCTCGTCTCCTTTTTAAGCCCGTTTTCGCATGTCACGTGGTGATGACAATCTTTTCCAATGCGGTTAGAGCGTGGGATGTTTATTTCGTAAGGCGTGGGGATTTGGACGTGATATTGGCACTGGACGAATTAGTACGCGCAACGCACTGCCTCAGATTGAGAACGCTTGGAGTGACCTATTTGAGGAAAGATTTCGTAGTTCTCGCCCAGAGAATGCAACTACAAAATATATATATAAAACTCAACGCAGACTAAATGGAGTCCTGCGTTCGTTGTGAAACATCTCCAGTGAATATCAACAAAATTATGTGCAGCAAAACACAAGTTATAAATCCGGGCACCACCGGGAATCGAACCCGGGACCCCAGGATTACAAGCCCAAGCTTTCCACTGATTATCACTAGGATAAAGAAATCGAGGATGGTTAGATGGGCGGGGACTGCAACACACATAGAAGAAATGAGAAATGCGTGTAAAATATAGATCGGAAAGCGTGAAGGGACGAGAGCACTTGGAAAACCATGGCTTAAATTACTCCATACACACAGAAGAAGGCAATGGCAAACCACTTCTGGATCATCTGCCAAGAACGTATATGAACAGGTCCCAGTCCGAGAAAAGGATGGAAGGATCCTGTTCATATGGACCTGTAGTCAGACAGAACACTAAATAAATAATAATAATAATAATAGTCTGCTAGAAGATTGGTAGTGTTTCAGAGGTACTTGCAGCCCTAGAGATGGAGGCAACAAGCACCTCTGAAACGTCGGTAACCGTCCACTAGCAATATCTCAGAAATCTGTCGCCATGGTGTTTCCCTATTTAGTTCAATAAACTGAATAGAATGGCTACTCTTGTTCCTCTGAGACCACGTTCATGAAGATTTTGAAGGAAACATTCGGAACCTACCCATGGCGGACAGACGAAGAACACGTGACTTAAACAGTGTGGTAGGTTTACTGACTCTGGCAAGTTGACGCTCGAAGACACCACACCTTTTCTGTCCTCACGTGACGTCACACTGATACAAGGTAACCCAGTCGTGACGTCACGTCAAATACGTACGCAAGAGCGACCTAACTCTCTTTTATGTCGTATGAATTGTCAGGATTTTGGAATTGTCCTGTTATAATTTTTCTTCGTCGAATATTAATTTGTTGAATCTGTTTTATGCAGTTTAGCTACGATGTTTATTGCCGCGGTGTTAGGACGTTTATGGATCAGGAAAAACTAACCCAAATTTTATCGCTGTCTTATTTTAAGATTCTTTACCGGAAGTCTTGAGTGTAAAAAACTGACATCTCACGAGAACAAACATCGAGGGATTTTTTAAGACGAAGTTAGTTAATTAGTTAACAACTAGTTAGTTGATACGTCTTTTGAAAGTGTGGCAGAATTTAGAAATTTGAAAACGTCAACAAATCGAAATTCATTCGTAAGGAAATTAGGAACAGACTGAATTCGGAGAATCCTCGCTACGTTGCAACTCAGAACGTGAAGAGATGTTGAGGAAAATATTTGGACCTGAAGGGGATTCCAGGAGAATAAATTTGAACTCTGTATTTTATACTAATCAAACATTACCAAGTCAAGAAGGATGAGATTGGCAGAGCATTTAGCACGTATGAAATACGAAATTCATGTAAATTGTCAGTCGGAACCCCCCCCCAAAGGTAGAGATCGTGAAGAAAGTCTTGATTTATACGAGGGATAATGCTCTTGAAACTTTTTCAAACGCGTAAATGAATAATTTAGAAGTGATAGACGTGATATTAGGTTGAGCTTGGTATTTCATATTTTATATTTTGATATTCTAGAATAGCGTACAACATATATAGGACGAAACAGGAATTTCAACAGTTCGAGTGTGGGTGTTGATGGTTTCCCTGAAGTTGGTTTATAAATAACCTCTTCACTGGCTTCGAAGAAATAAGTTTAGAATTGGTTTGAATCAGTTTCTTGGCTATAGATAAAATTTTGATTTTAATTGTTTCATGTGTTTAGACATCCATGAATTTCCGAACGAGTGCAACGAAGGCGAATGAAACTCTGTTTCGATCAGTCGATCAAATTCCTCGTCTCCTTTTTAAGCCCGTTTTCGCATGTCACGTGGTGATGACAATCTTTTCCAATGCGGTTAGAGCGTGGGATGTTTATTTCGTAAGGCGTGGGGATTTGGACGTGATATTGGCACTGGACGAATTAGTACGCGCAACGCACTGCCTCAGATTGAGAACGCTTGGAGTGACCTATTTGAGGAAAGATTTCGTAGTTCTCGCCCAGAGAATGCAACTACAAAATATATATATAAAACTCAACGCAGACTAAATGGAGTCCTGCGTTCGTTGTGAAACATCTCCAGTGAATATCAACAAAATTATGTGCAGCAAAACACAAGTTATAAATCCGGGCACCACCGGGAATCGAACCCGGGACCCCAGGATTACAAGCCCAAGCTTTCCACTGATTATCACTAGGATAAAGAAATCGAGGATGGTTAGATGGGCGGGGACTGCAACACACATAGAAGAAATGAGAAATGCGTGTAAAATATAGATCGGAAAGCGTGAAGGGACGAGAGCACTTGGAAAACCATGGCTTAAATAGGAGAGTAATGTTGTAATGCTGTCTCACGTTGCTAAATCACTTCGTAACGCTGACTGACTAATAAGACGAGCGTAGAGCCGAACGGCATTGACCAATGGCGCAGCCGTGCTGCCACCTATTATATATCTGCCCAACTAGCTGTGTATCTGTTTTCGAATCAGACAAGCCTCTGGGTTTAGATTCCGAAGCCTGATATTAATAACAAGAAACAGTTTACTTCATTTTACTCCAAGCCACCTGAAGCCAATCCCCATAATAATATTCGTCTCTTCAAGAGATGTTTTAATATTATATTTTAATTTCAAATTATTTGGAAGCAAATTATTATTAACCTCAGAGTTTTCAGCCATCTTTACGTTTCAACCGATTCTACTCGTGGGAAGATTTCTCATGTTACACATTGGATAGAAGACTGGGTGGGCATCAAGGAACCCACAACGCCTCTACCAAAATCCAGTTCAGTTCGTAGTCTGAGCTAAATCTTTGAATAATTCATAAGACATTTAACTGCACATTAACATCTCCAGAAATAAGGAAATGTTAATGGGATATGAGCATGACTGTGGGTGAAATCTGAAAGTTGGAGAAAGGAGTTTTGGTCCACTTCACGAGACTGAGGAAAACCACGAAACACTTCAGACAGTGCAGCCGAGACTCGAACCTTGAACATTCTGAATATAAAGCAAACATGTAGCAGTTTAGTTAGTCCTTGTGTTAGTTGTGAAGTTTGGTGGGAAATAGCCTGCGTGGGGAAACAAGAAAGTTATACAGAAATTTGTATGGAAATCATGAGTTAAAACCAATTCAGAAATGAAGATGTAGCTGGAATAGTTCTATAATAATCTTTGTAGTGGTTCAAGGAGGAAAGGCGAATTGGTTCAACTTCCTGTCCGGTGGTACTAATGATGTTAATTCCAGAGAGGTGGTTAGTTGATTGACGACTGTGTGTGTTGTTGCAGAACATGGCAAGCAGCACGGTCAGACAGACTGTCACCACAACAGTGCAGCAGAGTCCATCTCTGGACAACAACCTGGGTACGTGTAATGCCTTTATATGGAATTAAGGTTAACTCTTTACAGAGAGAGGAGAGCGAGACGATAGAGGAGCTGCTATCTTGCGGCAGAACTGACAACCTTGTAGCACTTTAATCTTTGTACATTCTACCTGTACAGGACAAAGCACGTCTAAATACTGTCTCTACATTTAAGAACACCATTGAAAAGTTCAGTCTTGTTCAGGAAGGATTGTGCTGTTTTATTATGAAAATCAAATAATATCCATAAAGGGACTGTTGTGGGCAACATTCCAGGTAATTAAACATTAAATTAGGAGACATACGTAATTGACAGTACCCCGTTAAGGGTTAGAAACTTATCTTGTAACTGCAAGTACACATAATGATACCCACCGAGTGCCTCCTTCCACCAATCCTCAACTTTAACGCTTTCACTATCATCCTTACGTATTTTCACAGATGGAAATGTTACATCCATGACCTACTTATGAGTTGCAGATTGAGTTTAAGAATTAAAGTACCAAAATTGTAGTCCATGATTAATATAACTTACAGATACTATGAAGCTTGTATTTTATCTGTTCTAGAAATATTATGAAACCTGAATTATCATTGAACCATACCATAAGCCACTTTAATGCTTTATATAGATCTCCAAAATGACCCCTTTTATGTAGTTTTCGATCAAAATATGTATTTTCTCATGAACACTATGTATTCAGCACAAAGCAGCCTTTTTTGTCAAGGAAAAGAGGAAACATTTTAAAGATTTCTGTCTTCTGGGTTGTTGCGCTGTGTAGTCTGGTCGATGTTTACCAACGTTTCAGAGGTCATACTGCCTCCGTCATCAGAGCGATGAATGTGCCAATTGGCTACACAGCGCAACAACACATGAGACAGAAATCTTCATACTCACCGCTGTGAAAACCTCAAATCTTACAAGGAAAAAAAATTAATAAATTTGTCAGACTGTACATTGGAAATTTAAAGTTGGCAGATCACACTTAAAAATTCCTATTTGGCAGATCGCGCAGTAGAAATTCACATCTTGTGAACAATATGCTTGTCTAAGTTTGATGGATGGAAACTAGCATTTTCCATGAGCAAGATTTTAGCAGTGCTAGTGAATAGTAACGTATCACTAGCAGAACTGAAACATATTCTAGCAACGACAAGTTAGTAGACTGTGCATCAGAAATACTGTTTCGGTGAACTGCGGTACAAATTGGATGTGCGCCATCCACCACACAATGAGCCAACAGCCGAGAGAAACTTGACTATTTCCAACCATGGCAGGTATCAAGAACCTGTTTACACTACTGCAAGTACAGATTCCTTGAACATAACCTAGCTCCAGTCTCACTGACCAATCAGCCTCTTACATCGTCTTTAGTTAATCAGTAAGGAAACTGTAAACAAACTTCTATAAATAAATTGATCGCAGAATGACATTACTGATGCCTACACTCTTTAATGTCTATAACCAGAGGTTAATCCTGTGACAAGGCCGGGACCTCTCGGCCTCTCTTCATTCTGCTGTCAGTATGATTCTGCTTTAGTTTCTGTTTGAACATGGGTAATAACAGAGTTCTGCTGGCTCTGGTGCAGGAAGTCCACACTGCTCTGGGTAATGTTCGAGTGCATCTGTGAAGTGAACACGTAATGTTGCATGCAGTCTTGAAATTGTGATTGTCATCATTATACTGTAACGTAATTAGCCAACTGCAATATAACCGGAAGATTCGACATCACTAATACCAAACTGAATTCTAAGTTCCTGTCTGACTCAGAAAATAGAAACTGGAGGTTAAACATTTTTGAAATCAAACCCATTTCTCAGTCTGTTTCTCCAAGCTACATATTCTAACCGGACGCTTTCGAAGAGGATTTATTACCAGAGTAACACATGAATTTCATCTTTCTTCCATACAAGCTGCATTTTCAAAACTTTTTTTAACTTTGTTCCTTTGACCAACCTGACAATAATGCATGGGGTCGTATAATTACCAATGACACGGCTGTAATTTGTTAGGATCATCCTGGCCGTGTGAATAGTGACAGAACGAAGTCATGTGGCTGCCCTAGGTCAGTAATTTTATCTGCACTCTACAAAAAGCTATCTTTCTTCCATCCACCCCAGAGAGAAATAGGTAAGAATAGGGTGAAATGTACGTACTGTGCTAAAATAAAATATTGCAGCTACGTTCAAAAGTGAGAGAGTTTCAGTCCTCATGAAATATTTTTTGTTCTAATATTGACAACACTGTTTCTAAATGCCTAAATTATATTACACTAAATGAGGGAAGGGTGAGCATGAACTATTTTTATGTACTAGCACTACATTTGTTTGTTGATATGTAATTGTAACAAAATGTTAAAATAGTCTGTCAGGACAGAACAGAAAAACACATGCCTAAGCTGAATTGATAACCACTACACTGCAAAGTCCACTTTGTTTATTTGATAATACTGTGTCAACTGATGAGGTTATGGTAACCTCAAGCAGATTATAATGAATACAAGAATAAATAAATTCAATAAATGTTTAGTACTTAGTTAAGTAAAGTGTAATCACCCTCTTCACTTTGCACAACTCTGAAGATTATGACACACATCATCTTATCATATATATAAGGCAATGAAGTGATTAAACCAAGCACAACAGAGTTAATTTTTGGAGGTCACTGGTTCTAGTCTTGGCCATCTTTGCTGATCTTTCCTCTGGGCTCATCCAGGATGTCCTGGAAAAGTTGCTTAAAGAAGGCCACAACCATTTATCTCCAGTTTATTCTCCATGGTCATTCTGTTACTTGGCCATACTACCTTTTCACCATCTCTAAATAAGAAAGAAATGAAGAAAGTAGATTGAAAATCTATTAAACTCAATGCTCTGTGCTTTCATACACTGCACCCTTTCGGCTTCCTTTACCCAGTGAAGAGATTTCAGTGAAAGAAAAATTCTGTGACAAAACTCTCATCGCTAGTTTCTGCTCGGAATGCCTCAAATGACAGGGAAATATTAATAACGTGATGGTTCATTCACATTGTTACCAGATGCCCTTCTGGAGGACTTACAAACCAGTGTGTCACGGCCATCTTCATCCGCAGCAGTGAATGGCATCACGACTGCCAGCAGTAATAGAACATATCATGAGGTTAGCGGCAGAACCGTTCAACGTGATGTGGCTCCTGGATATCAGGTGCAATACTTGTCTGCAGCCAACCCAACAACCGTTGTTTCTGAAAGAGCTTCCAGCCCTGGAGTGGAATTGCTGGTGATTTGCTATATTACTTTACTCTTTCTCTGCAGCTTTGTAACTGTGGCCTTGTTGTTAGAACACATACAATGGGACCACAGTTACAATTGTTGCAATTACCCTTGTCATGCAGGAGAGACATGACACAGACATTGACGGGTCCATAAAGGTGCTCGTTGCTCACAGAGGAATGTGAAGAACATCTATGGTTGTAGCGATAAAGACAGAAATATTTTTTTTAACCGTACGTGACCAATCTTGTGTTAAAAAACACAGAATAACTGGAATTACTAATGCACTTACAAGTGTTACCAACTTTTTCAGAATCAGCAGAAAAGTGGAGGCAGCTTGACAACATACAAGACGGTCGCTTACAAATATAACACAGGCAGCAACACCACCCAACCAAGTAAGTTTCTTATGATATTGATTTGTATGGTTCTAAAACATCGGCTCTCACGAAGAGCAAATGCAAGAGAACAAACTTCGTAAGAAAATAAAACTACCAAAGATGAATTGAAGATTGACAAATAATAAGGAATGAAAAACTTTGTGATTCATATGGTTCGTATTTTTATGGATCAGATCAAAGATGCTGAGATGGATTACATCATTTATCTTGGCTGAGGATGACAAGAAATGCACACAGATTTTGGTAGGAAAGTCCCTAATGGGTTGTGAGAATGTCACTATAATAATTCACTCAGGTTTGGATCCATTAGAGCAGGAGTTCTCAACCTTTTTCGCTGGCGTACCACTAATTCGCTGTCACTGGTTAAGCTGAAACAATAAAAAAAAATATTTTCTGTCAATTTGTTGTGTATTTAGAATTTTAATTTGTCATTGATTGTTCTGTTTCAGTCTCAGGGTTGCTTGTAGATGGCAGCAGTGTGTCAGCATCAGACCCTACGTCTGATGCTCGACTGCAGCAGAATCTCAATGAGCTGGACAGCCTGCTGGTTGACTTGCATCAAGCGCAGAAAGCAGGCTTCAGCACAGATCAAGGTACTAGTAATTACGATAGTAACAAAATACACGAACATACAGAAAGAATAATGTGTTGTGTATTGTTTGTAATTCTTGTAAAATTAACAGGTGACTGAACTAAATTATCAATGGTCCCAAAAATTCAGTACCACTAACATAGAAACATGCAATAAAGTTTATTTATGAGCCACCTAAATCCAATTTAAGTTGCCAAAACAAAGATTCTCTGTAACATAATCCTTAAAAATTCATTTAATTTTTTCAAATGGTTATATTGTCCTTGATATATTGCTGTATCAGTACTAAAAAATGAGTATAAATAAAGAAGTTGATTGTTATGTAATTTCTTCTGCAATTATTTTCTTTAAGCCAAATATTTTCCTTAAAACTTTGTTTTGAAGTTGATGGACCTCTCCTAAGATAAGTAATATCTCATAAACATGCAAAATAAATGGCAAAAATGTATTTTATTGTATCTTAATACTTTGTATTTTGGAATGCACACCGCGTGATAAAAATTTCTAAACTGTTACCACCAATTATTTACTGAACTTATTGAAATTTGTTGTCACTGAATAAAAGTGTTAAATGAACGCTATCTGCAGTTTCATTCACAATTCACAACTGCTTTTTTTTTCCAACAGGTGATGTTTCTACGAGCATAGCCAGGATTCGGAACATAGATCCAGGACTACTGTGAGTACCAAGACAAATGATAAGTCCTAATTATCTGGATTTTAAGTGGTGCATACAAACAAAACAAAACTTAAATCACTTACATATTTTTTATACAAAACAATTGTATGTCTGTATCTTAAAATTCCTGTTGTATTTACAAGGTCAGTAGTAACAATACAAGTAATGTACATTTACCAGTAACATAATCATCTTCATGGCTTTATGATACTGAAAATTTGAGTTTATAACTGTTTATTAATATCTTATATTAAAATGGTTCAAATATAAATTTCCAAACAAAGTGTAGTCGTCAGCTTTGTTTCGGCATGAGACCTAGTCCCACATCTGAGAAAATTGATTGGTGTTAGTTCATTTTTTCTTCAAATTAAGAAGAAAACTTCTTTAAATACATAAATGCATTTTAGGTACCCTTTATATCATAAATTGGTTTCCAGAATGCCATTATCTTTTTTGTATGTGCAATGCTCTAACATGAATGTCAATTTTATAATTTTTTTATTTAGTTTTCATAGATGCTACTTTTGTCCTATTTATAACAACACTAGGTGAAACATTTAGATCAATTTCATATTGAGTGAAATAAAAATTGTAAAAATAGTTATTTTCTTGAAAATTAGTATTTTTATTAATTTACCCTTATTTATACATAATACTGCCTCAAATAATACATAATGTCACAATAAATAACTATAAAGTGTTCACATCTCTGTGTCTCATTACACGTACAACACATGGGAAGGTCTGCATAATGTATTTAAAACTGGGAAGCAGTTATCACAGCTGATTTATATTAGACCCACATAAGACATTCAATTCAATTCATACCTAATATAACAGGAAATCGTGCCAGACCTTTACTTAAATTCATTATGCTTTACTTTATAGAGAGCCTGTTGATCATAGCACACCCACACGCCAGCAACTTCAGCATGTGACACGTGTCATCCAGCAGCAAACCTACACTGATGTAGGAGGCACCGGCCCCTCTCCTGTTCGTTACCAGAATGAGCCACCATCCAGCCCTCGGCTTCAGCCAAAGCGTTCTTCATCTGCACACCGTGAACTCATGTATGGTACTGTTGACACCCAGCACCGCACCACCCGCTCTCCATCTCCCATGAGACACCCTGATCCATCTCCTCGGATACCCCATCGCACTGTGGTACAGAAGGAAACTCACTATGAAACAAGGGGCAATATCACTCCAAAACAAGAACGCTATAGAGACAAATCACCATCCAATCGTCGTCTACAAAAGGAAGTGTATTATGAGTCTTCCAAATCTTCCACGCCAATCCCTCCATCTCCGCAATATGATCACTATAGAGAGACCTCTCCCCCCTCACAGAGGAGAGGAGTTTCACCAATGAGGCATTTGAACCAGAACCTGCCAGATTCATATTCCAGTCAGCCACCTGGGTCTTCCAGTAGGATTACAACTGTTCGCACATATAATTATAACACTACTGGAGGTTCTGGTCCTTCTCCAGTGCTTCCTACATCACATTCTAGTGCCCCGCCACCATCTCCTACCCCTCGATCCCCGTATACTGACCACACCGCTCAAGTTGTGGAGCTGACTCCATCACCTTCACCTGTTATCACCTATGCCTCACCCCCACAAGTTCCACCACCAGGAGCAAAGGTCACCACGACAGTAAAAACATACACATATGAGATCCCAGGTCAGCCAGGAACAAATCACCAGTATCCAACTGGAAAAAATCAACCATATCACTCTGGAACAACTCAACCATATCCACCAAATTACAGCCCCATAGAACCTCCCAGTGACGGCATGCTAACGTACCAAGTGTCGCCCCGAGAGAAGGAGCCCGTGACAGAACCACCACCGCCACCACCACCAACTGTCATCACCTATAAATACTCCAGCCATTCATCACACAGTTCGAGCTCCAAGTTCCCAGTGCAACCAGAGGAACAGCAACCCCTGCTGCCACGACCCTTCCCCACCCCAACGCCCAATACCAATAACCAGCCACCCAAGAGACTAGATGACCTTATGGCGTCCTTCTCAGACACAGAGGTGAGTGATAGTTATGTAATATTTGCTTATCAGCTATTCTACAGCAGATAGTATACTGTCATTTTTATGAAGAGCGTAAAACTGCTATAATTCTTTCAAAATACAGAATGTCCCAATATGTATATATATACACACATTATAATATGAAATTGTTCCCGATGATAATGTGGAGGTGCCCTGACTTGTTGATGCCGTATGTCCTCAACTCCATACAGCTGGATGTCAGGGCCTATCTTGACAAAAAATTTTGCGACTGATGGATAGGACGCAGACGATCTGTTAAGTACCCCTCATGATCACCAGATTTAACCCCACCTGACATTTTCTTGTGGGTTACTTGAAGGACGTGGTCTACAGCGCAAAGCCGGCAACACTTCAAGAGCTCTGGAAAGAAACTGAATGGTCTTGCAGAGCCGTCCCAGCAATTACTATGGTGGCTGCTTGTCAGTCAGTTGCTCAACATTGATGACTGTGAAATAAAGCTAATTATGGTCATTTTGAGCACCTACACCAGATTCAGCAATTCACTAATTTCCAGTGCTGACATATGTAAAGGTTTAGTTTATTAAAATGACTTTATTTCATTCGCTGAATGTGTGTATACATATCCTTTTTGGGACACTCTTGTTTATGTATAATATATGTTAGCATCTTCATTTCTAGACAAGTAATATCACCTCTTAGAGATTTTATATTTACATTTTGTACCAAATTTGCACAAGGTGATCCTAATAACCTGTTACGTATTTTACAAAATGAGCTATGTGCTTATTGGTTAGTCAACATAATTAGCCAACTCTTCGTAGAAAGTGGTTTTTGGTCTGAAACCTGCCATATTTATATTTGGTATCTGAAATATTCGTGTTGACAGCAGTGATATTTTTTTAGAGTATGAAATACGTACATGAATTATTAATTTATTGACTGTGGCTAATTTTTATTAACATTGCATACTGAATTCAGGTTATGTGATGAAATGGCTATCTTTTGGGGTTTTGTGCCATGTAGTCTGGTAGTTGTTTACTGATGTTTTAGAGGTCCTTGCTACTCTTTCATCAGGACAATGAGTAAGCTTATTCATCATCCTGATGTTGGAGGCAGCAACCATCTCTGAAATATCAGTTAACTTCTACCAGACTTCGTAGAGCAACTCAGAAGAGAGCCATCTTCATACTAGCCACTGTGAGAACCTGAAATCTCACAAATGATGTGATGTCGTAAATTTCATGATCACCATATTTGATACACCATGATTCTATGTCAATTAATTCTCATGAAAAGCTTCTAAATATGTTTTATCCAGCTTTATTTTGAAAAAAATAATTAATGCATTGTGTTATATATCTGACTGTAGGCTACTTACTTTGAAAATTACAAAACATTAATAAAATAACACTTGATATTTGAAAGTTTGATTAATCATACGAAAATATATGCCCTCATATTTGAAGGTGAGTCATATATCTTCTGCCAAAATAAACAAAAAATTACATTCATATGTTCTGCCAAAATAAACAAAAAATTACATAAATTACATTCATATTTACAAAAACACAAAAAGACAGAATTTCAACAGGAGTGAGAGCATGTAACTGGCTTTTATTTTCTCAGACATATGATAGTTTATGAACAAGAGCACTGTTTTATATTTCACCAAAAGAAACCAGTGTAATTGAAATGTATGTTATGTACAAATTCTTCTGTCAGCATATTTGACTTCATGTGTCACTTTAAGGTACATAGGTACACAGGTATTGTTTTTGCACACCTAGAACAGAAGAAACAACAAATTACATTTGTTTGCCATATAGACAGCATCTGTTAACATCTAATGGTAGATCAGGATTTTTACTGTACAAATCTTATATAATATAAATTCCATTATGGAAATAATGGAACTGTAATTTATGAAGTACTCCTTTATGAACCAATTACCCAGTTTGTACTGTAGGTCAAATGTACTTGAGGCAAAATATTCTTTTCTATTGTTTATATTCTCTCACATGGTTATTTTACTCAGCACTGGGAAATAAACTAAAATATATATCATTACTTATTTAAAACCACTTCTGTGATATCTGCTTGGAGGATTTAGGAAAATTATAAAATCCTCAGTCGTGATAGTTAATGTCCTGGCATACATTCAAACCAAATACAAATCAGATATTTCTACTTGAGTCAAAATATTGTTTTTTATATGGATCTTAGATATGTTTGACTTTCGAAAGCCTCGTGTAAATAATTAAGAATGGTTTGAAAACTTGTGTATTTAATGGGAACAACTTGACATGTATGTGTAAGAAGAGAAATGAGGATGTCCAAAAATAATTGCAAGTACTTAATTTAAATGATGAGGTAATATATTATTAAATACAATGTAATGAACATCAGCAAATTATGAGTATTACAGAATCACTAAACTCACTTGGAATTATAAACTACTATGAATAAGACACACTGGAAAGCCAAGAAAGAGATAATATGACAAAATAACTTATATTAACAGTGCAGCACAGCTTATGTGAGCATTGTGCTTCGTGCTATTATACTGTAAAACCCTAAGTTAAAGTATTCTGATCATCAATCATGTAATACAGGGGTAAACCCCCTATTTTCATATGTTAGAGATTAAATCATCTCAAACATGACGAACCATGACCTAATCTCTGAAGGCAGTCTGTGGGTAAGGATACATACAAGCAAACAATTTCGTGAGTTGTTTCTATTTCAGTCAACACATCATTACCCGCCTGAGAAACATACACATCAGTCACCAGTGCCCTATTCAGAAGGCAGCACTGGGGTTGCTGTGGTGACACCAACACCAAACGCTACAGTAGTTGCAGCAGCCACATCAGCAGCGACCAGTGACAGGCCAAAGACCAAGAATATTACTGGGCCACCTGTCTACTACCCACCTGGGGTTGAGTTGTTTGCCAAGAAGGAGGAATCTATGGCAATGCAGGTTAGCACTGGCAGTAATCGACTCCATGGAGCATAGTCCTTGGCAAGCCAATAATCATGCAGCTAGTCAAAAAATTCCTTGCCTTTTATGGAACCTGAAAGTCCATTACCATGTTCATAAGAGTCCTTATTGTACACCAAATTAATTCAGTCCATGCCCTCCCACCTGATTTCCTGAAGACCCATTTTAATACTGTCCTCCCATATATGCGTAGGATTTCTGTATGCACTTTTCATCCAACATTAGTAGTATGAAGATGGAAATTACAAATTGTTAGGAATTTATTTTTTAAGTTTATCAGTTTTAATTCCATTGATGGGCACGTTGTTAATTTGTTAGAGTGATTACATCAAAGAAGGATGAGAAGAAATCTCCAAAGAAAGGATCACTTGCAAGAACTCAGTTTTTATGGAGGATATTTTTAAAATAAATATTGTAGAAATATGCTGTGAAGGAAATTTCTTTGTGAGATTAACAAATGTCATCTGCTGAAGAGAAACTCGGTACCATGGTGTAGAGTTAATTCGCCATATTGAACTACTGTCTTAAGTAAACAGAGTAAGAATTGTGAATAGTAATATCAACAACAACAACAACAATAATAATATGGGTGTGGGCAGAAAACTTCAAAACAAAAATGTAAAAGGAAAGATTCAATAGAAGGAATTTTTTACATTCTGCGAGAGGATCGAGGGTCATGACATAACATAACATGACATACAGTGCAGGAAGTATGAAGATAGCTTCCTGCAGTACCACAGTTGACCATAATCAACACTCAGTGCACATAGTAGTCTTGTTGTTGTACTGTCCAGTCATTCCATGGCAGTAAGACATCAGCAAGAAAGGGGAAGCCAAATGAAGTTCATGTTGCATGAAAATATGATACATATTTGGTCCTTGGTGCTTGTGGTAACTGGGCCTAAGCTGCAGCCAGATCTTGTACAGAAAACCACCACCCAAGCAGTAATTTGTTTCACTGACTGAACAAGAGAAAGAGGGAGACTGGCAACACCCTACCAGCACCACCACTGGATAGAGGTTGGCCATGCATTTGCCAGATACCAGCACTCGAAGAGATGGTTATGGAAATGGTGGCACAGAATCCATGTTATAGTACATGGGCAATTATCCAGAGTTGAGTGTTGAACATTGTTCTGGTCATTTAATCCTCCAGGATGTAGATCTGTGTTCGTACCACTGCTCATGGGTTCGAGATCTCACGCGTTACAATTATCATCATCTCAAATACTGGAAGTGACTTTTAGAGGAACATGAACGTGATCCAGGTATTGTGGGGGCACATCTTATGGTCAGATGAAACAGCATTCACACATTAAGGTGTCTTTTAACAGCCACAACAGCCACTTGTGGGCACAGCGTATGTATCAAGCGTGACCATCATGTTTGCTGGAGCATTGACAGTATTGCTAGACAATGTGCCACTTGCAGTTTGTCATGTCACGTGTTTCCGACGTGATGGGGTGCCAGCACATTTCAGTGCGCGGACCCAGCGGCACCTCAACGCACAGTTAATAAATATGAACAACTCACCTTGTTTAAAACTTCTCTTGTTCATGTCTCTGAAGTTGTTCAACTTCAAGTTGAAGTATGTTTGATTATTTTGAATCAAATTGACCTAAGGAACATTTTCTACAATTCTGGCAGGAACCGCCCGGTACACTTTGTACAGTCTTGTTGTGAACAAAGAAAAATTACGTAATTGAATTCTCTATTCTGAATTCTAAAAGTCCATCCACCTACTTATCCCTTGCTTCATTTCACCTGGAAAATAGCCCACTGTTAAGATCTCTAAGATAAAGAGAAATTTCCTGCTTACTGGCTAGCTCTGGCAGCTGTAAATACAGCAAGAAACTGGTTCTAATTATTAGCACAACATTTTAGGCAAGAACGATTTGTAACAATTAGTTGAAACAATTACAGATTTGAATGGCATTACAATTATTTTTATTTACTTTTGTTATAATATTGCAGAAATTTTTAAAAGAAGTGAGTTGTTACACATTTATTAGCGACCAAACCGTTAAGTACACGAATGTGTTCTTATTGCTATTTAACACATTTAATTAACAGCCGAACCATTAAATACAAACAAAATCGGAACAGCTAAGGAAGTGCCCTCTCTTACATTCTGTGCACTTCTCAGCACTCACCAGCAGTGACTGGATAGCTTCGGCAATGGTCTCAGGGTGATTCCATACTTTTGTACTTCTGTAAAATAATTAAATAGTCTATTTATCAAAAGGCAAATCGTTTAGAACAGTAAATGTAAAACATATATTAAAATTTATTTTACATGTCATTTACATTTTCAATTGAAATTCGAACGGCAGTACTGTGAAATTGTTAATATCAAGTTAAATGTTGTGTGTCTAAGAAGTGAATTGTTACAACCTCAATATTTACCATTCCATCCTCATTTAAAATCTTTCTTTTCATTTATAATTTTGAGAATTCTTTATCATAATACTACTAAATATAATGCAGCTTAATTAATTAAGTGTAAAGAATCAGTACAGTTGTGTTAACTCTCAGCCAGTTTACATTAACTAACTAACTACTTAATTAACCAAACAGATAATGAACTAATTACCTTCCTTGGCACTTGTAATTGTTCAGTTGGTCAGAAAATTATGATTTTAAGAAACTTGAAAACAGATAGGGATTAGCTCTATCTAGTGGGCCCAACTGAGTAGGAACCTGAAGACGGAGATAGAGCCTCATCTCCGAAACGTCGTTTTACGTTTTATTACTAGACGATGGATAATATCCAAGTAAATTTTTATTCAATTGAAAACATAAGCTTGCCATTGGATATTATCCTCAGACAGTTCATCCAGACAACGTTATGACATATTTTATCTATCCATGCTTATTCTTTCAATTAAATTTCCCAACCAATATTTTGCACGAATTCATTATTTGCCCCATGAGCTATATGGGGCAACCCACATTTCCTTCCTCTACTTCACATCAACAATATAATTTGATAGTAAATCTGGTTGAGCTGTTCATTATGTAATTTTCTCTGTTCTACTGTTACTTCTTCTGTCTTAACCCCAAATAAACTTCAGAGCAACTTGCTGTCCCATAATCTGTAACTGTAATACGTTGTAAGTACGATCACCATAGGAAGCCTTTACAAAATCTTTTATCTCTTTTTTTGCAGGGGAAAAAGGCGAGTGGTAGTTATGAGTATGAACATGCAAAAGAGAGCAAGAGTAAGAACGGTAGCTCAGGCGGGGCAGCCGTTGTGCCAGTGTGCTTGCCCCTGTGCTGTGCCATGCCTTGCGTCATCATGTGATGACTTACACATAAGCATAGAAACATTATGAATGGTATTAATATACCAAGTACAATGATCATATTAATGCGTGTGTTAACCTTAAACTGCCGGAAGACAGAAAACAGCAGTAAATATGGTTCTATGTGTTTTCTGTTTGTAACAACTTTATCCAGTATCTAAGCTTTGTCACACTTAATACGTGCTGCGGTTGTCTGGATCAAGATCCAGAGCTTACAAGGAAGTTACTGTTCATAATTTGAGCAGTATTATTCATTAAGGACTGTGTTAACGCTGTATGTTTCTATTGTCATCACCATAGAGGGTCAAAGCTTGGCTTGTAAGATTTGAGGTTTTCACAGCGGTGAGCATGAAGATTTCTGTCTTCTGGGTTGTTGCGCTGTGTATTCTGGTCGATGTTTACCAACGTTTCAAAGGTCATACTGCCTCCGTCATCAGAGTTTGAAGGTTTCTGTCTTCTGGGTTGTTGCGCTGTGTAGTCTGGTCGATGTTTACCAACGTTTCAGAGGTCATACTGCCTCCATCATCAGATTATGAAGGTTTCTGTCTTCTGGGTTGTTGCGCTGTGTATTCTGGTCGATGTTAACCAACGTTCCAGAGGTCATACTGCCTCCGTCATCAGGGCGATGAATATTGTGGACATCTACCAGACTACGCAGTTTATTTTTTCATATGCTTGACAACACCAAAACAAGGCTGATTACAGCCAAGCACTAAAAACAATAGTACACGATCAAACAAAATTCAAAAACAAAAAAGAAACACAGTAAAATGAACAAAGAAAGGTAAACAAAGTCTGGATACAAGCAATGTCGTAAAATGTCCGTTAGTGAAATATATACTTGTTAAAATAACATTATCCTTAATCACGGCATTGACAGCAGGAGGACACGTAGCTGATGGACTGACCTTGATATTGTGATCAAACGTGTAGATTAGCCTGTAATCCCAGTACGTATCTGTACACGGACAGAATTAGATGTGAAAGAACAACTAATTTTGTTTTTAAAGACATTAATGAGGAAAAGAGCACGTGGGTGATGCCATTGGAATGAGGTCTTTGAAAGACTCAGCGTAGCTAAAATTGGTTCATAGTTATTGCAACATAGGCCTACAAGAAATGCCTTCTGTAGGATAAGACAGTAAGTTTTCTTTAAAAAATTTCAAGTTTGGATGAGTCTGTCGATTTAATGGAATTCGAGGCAACAGATGCGTGTTCCAGTTTGGGTCAGATGGGCATAGGTTGGTATGGGAAGTTATGAGTATTGGAAAGAAGACGTGTATAATGAATCAAATCCAACTTTTTTAAGCCTTGGGAAAACATGTACTCAATGTGGTGATGAAAATAGAGCTTACAGTTGAACAGACCTCCAAGATCTTTGACACATTGGGAATACGCAATTTATAATCAAAGTTAATACTAACAATTTTGTACCATTAAATCATTCACAAACAAAATGTACTTAGAATTACAGTAGAAAAAGCAGATATTATTAATGAATGTATTAAGGAGCAAGTGATCTGAAGCGTATCGCTGTGGATCTCGAGACTTCACAATACGTAACAAAGGGAAGATATCAGAAAATTGTCTGTTGGTCGGACAGCTGTGAAACCAATTTTTATAAATAGGGGAAAGTCAAATGTTGGTAAGTTTATAAGGAAGTAAATTATGGTGACAATATCAAAATTATTACTTAAATGAAAATATACAGAATCGGCGTGTCCTTGTACACTCACAACGCAGTATTCAAATAAGTAAGCAGTTTGATTTATGTTGAATTGTGTTTATAGGAGCCAAACTGAAAAGTATTAAACCTATGCAAATAAGTAAGCAGTTTGATTTATGTTTATAAGAACCAAACTGAAAAGTATTAAACTTATATTTAAGAATGTAAATTGTCATATATATAATGAATTTGATAGTATTGGAAAAATTGTGATTTTTAAACAAATCATTCAACCATGCGTAAATAATGCATATAATTTTGGACTCGATACAGACTCATAAAAATTATTACATTTAGCACTAAATTCCTAACATTTTGGTAACAAATATGAATGCGATCGAAGGAACTTATATTCGACATTGTGCAACGATCCAAATTTTGTCCCGTAAAATAATTTTATTTTCTCCCTTTGTCATCCCTGGACAAGTAACGTAATTTAAGTGCTACTTCACCAACAGCTTTTTGAACATCTCATGACGAAAATATAATATGCTTCTCTAAAGTCAGAATTTTGTTACAGCTTGAGAGAATTTGACCTTAAAGTGTCCTTACTCATAAGTAAAATAACTCAAACTTGCAGTAAGATTGTGTTTAGTTATCAAACAGATAAAGGTTAAAAGAACACGTGCTTTCTTTTGTGACATTAAGAGCTGCAGTACTGTTTCTTTCGCATATCGTCAACGATATAGACGCATTAAGAGCTGCAGTACTGTTTCTTTCACAGATCGTCAACGATATAGACTTGTCAGACGAAGGTCGTGCCTCGTACTCTGACATTTCGTATGTTTATTTTACACGCCTGCTGTCATCATCAGTACCACTACTGTGACACTAACGACTCCAGTATGGGAAGATTACTAACATGAAATTACACTATGTTATGGATAATCCCACTTCAAACTATGTGGATAATTCATTATATGTAAAAACTAAACCCATAGTTCTCATTAACTGACAAAGTTTTAAAGTATATTTATGACAGTTATTTCTAATAATATGTATAACATTAGTTTTATTAAGGCGACATGTTTCAGTGTTTTATCATTATCTATGGGCCTTCAAAATAAGTTAGATGCAAAGTTCACAGTTTTTATATTTAAAAATGGACCCATTCTTTACAGTGCTCTATAGCGTTGTTATTTTGTAAATTGATAAAAATTTATAATTACAAACGTTTCATTGTTTACGATGAGAGTCATGGTTATTACAGGTTTTCAAGATTATTTTTCAGCACAGTTTTGCTAATATTTCTTCTCCCGATGTTGTATGAGTTTGCCGTCTGCAAATTTAAGAATTGTGGTGTACATTACACCATTAGGCCAAGCTAGCCAATGCTAGGCTAGGCTGGACTAGGTTCTGTGATGTTACGCTTGAATAGGCAAGGATAAACTTTGCAAAGCAGGGCTAGCTAGGGCTTGGCCGACCTAAGCTGAATTATGCCAGGACAGACCGGGGCAGAGGAGTATAAGCGGGTACGGCAGTGCAAACTATTACAAAACCAAAAATTTTGAAATATTTGAAAATTTTTTAAGTAAAATTTTTCGATTCTGGTATGGATGAGACGGAAACTTTAAAAAATCAATTTTTTTAAAAAATTAAAAAATGCTGGATTTTGTCTAAAAAAGGGCACAACATTTTTGAAATATTTGAAAAAAAAATAAGTTAATTTTTTTAAATTTTTTTTTGGTTTTATGGGTATTTTGGGCACTTTCCTGCATTTTTCGATTTTTTTGGAAATTCCGAAAATCTGATTTTTTTTCAAATTCTCCCCTACCGACACCTGTCAGAAACGGTCTCCGCCAGACCTGGCCTTTGACGTACCCGATCTCTAACGGACCTGTGCTCTGCGAAACCTGTCTACTGGTCCGCCCCTGTAATGAACGGATACAGCAGAGTAGACATCGTGTGAGACAGACGGTGTGTGGAAGACACCGGGTGATGCAGACACTAGTGTCTGACAGTGACCGGTTGAGGAGATGCAGGGTGAGAGAGAGCGAACGTGGCTGAAAACGCGTCTGACAGAGATGGATAATGGTAAGCATCAGTATAATTTTTCACTTTTTTAAAAATTGGAAAAATGCTGGAAATTGTCTAAAAAGCGCACAAAATCAAAAAGTGTTGAAATATTTGAAAAAAATTAAGTAAAATTTTTTCAATTTTTTTGGTTTTGTTGGCATTTTGGGCAATTTCCAGCAATTTTCGATTTTCTGAAAGTTTTGAGTCATTTGGTTTTCTTTCAAAATTCTCCCCTTTCAGAAACGGTACCCGGCATACCTGGACTTTGACGTACCGGGTCTCTAACGGACCCGTCTAAGTATGACACTATCTCTACCGACCCGTCTCTGTAATGAACGGCTAGAACAGAGAACGGGTGAGGCAGAGCCCTAGACCGGCAGAGAACGGGAGACGTAGACATCGTGTGAGACAGAGGCGGTGTGTGGAAGACATCGGGTGAAGCAGACGCTAGTGTCTGACAGTGACCGGTTGAGCAGATGCCCGGTGAGACAGAGAGCGAACGTGGCTGAGAACGTGTCTGGCAGAGATGGATAATGGTAAGGATCAGTTCAAAATTTTCACAATATCCAGCATTTTTTAATTTTACAAACAATTTGAAATTTGTCGAAATTCCTTCCAGAATCGGTCTCTGTCGAACACCGTCTGTGCAGTACCGTGTATCTGACGGACTCTGCCTCTACAAGACACTGCTAGAAATTCTCTCTGAATGACAGGAACTCTCGGGCCCTCCTTGCAAAGACCGAGGCTATCAGAGACCGTGTGAGGCAGAAACCGAGTCCAGCGTAGATCGTGTGAGGATGACATTGGGTGCGGCAGAGACCGGGTGAGGTAGAGACCGAGCCATGCAGAGATCAGGTGTGGTAGAGCCGGGTCCCGCCTAGATCGGTTCTACTAGGTATCGGTTAGGGCAAATTGGAAAAAAAAAAATTGCTGGAAACTGAACGGCCCAAAATACTAAAAATTTTCGAAATATTTTGAAAATTTTATGAAGTTGATATTTATCAATTTTTTTAGTTTTGTGCGCTTTTTGGACAATTTCCAGCATTTTTTAATTTTTCGAAAAATTTGAAAATTTTCAAAATTCATCCCAACCAATTCCTTCCAGAATCGGTCTCTGTCGAACACCGTCTGTGCAGTACCGTGTATCTGACGGACTCTGCCTCAGCAAGACTCTCTGCTAGAAACAACTCTCTGTATGACACGAACTCTGCAAAGGCCGAGGCCGTCAGAGATCGTGTGAGGCAGAAACCGAGTCCGGCGTAGATCGTGTGAAGCTGCCACTGAGTGCGGCAGAAACCGGGTGACGTATTGACCGAGCCTTGCATAGACCAGCTGTGGTAGAAACGCGACAAGCAGAAATCGGTTCTGCTAAATGTCGATTGGGGAAAATTTTTGATTTTGGGTGCTTTCTGGAACATCTCCAGCATTTTGTGATGTTATCAAAATTTTGAATATTTTTCAATTTTCTCCTCACTCGATACCTGCCAGATGCAAGGTCAGCCAGATACGGTTTCTGACATACCCTGCCTCTGACGGAAGCTGTCTCTGCCGATCTCGGTCTCTGCACGACTGCATGCAAGTCTCGGTGAATTCCACATCCTGTCTCCGCCGGACTCGG